GAGAGAGCAGCACTCCGGAGCCGGATCCGAGAGGCGAGGCGGGCCGGTTGGCTGGCGGACGGACTTGCGGCCAGCTGCGCGCGCGCATGTGTGTGTGTGTGGAGTGTGTGTCTGTGCGCGTGCGGGCGTGCGTGCCTGTGTGTGTGTGCGTGTGTGGTGCGTGTGTGGTGCGTGCGTGCATGCGTGCGTGCGTGCGTGTTGCGTGCGTGCGTGTTGCGTGCGTGCGTGCGTGCGTGCGTGCGTGCGTGCGTGTGTGTGTGTGTGTGTGTATGTGTTTGCTTTTGTTTTCAGGCCAGGCCCGCGGTTTCGCTTGGGAGAGTGTGTGCGTGCGCGTCCGCCGGTGCTAGTTGATGTGAGTGCGTGTGTGTGCTTGCGTGTGTATTATTTTTCGACCCCAGGTCGCCGCCGCGCGCATCTGGGCAGCCTCGTTCTGCCACGCCACTCCAAAAAAGAAATACATTACTTGCCAATGCGTCCCTTTGCGTTGCCCGCCGGCTGGACTCTGCGGCGCGTCGAAGAGCAGTGTGTGGGTGTGTGTGTTTTGACTGCACTGTCCAGTATGTACTTGGCGTAAGCTTCTGTGCCAATTCTGTGCGTGCGTGTATTTTGTGTGTAGTCCAGCGAGCCAAACCGCTGCACAGGTGGCTGCGACACCTTCTCCTGGGAGTGTGTGTGTGCGTCCGTGCGCGTCTGTGCTGTTTGTGTGTGTGTGTCTTTATGTGTGCGTGTGTGTTTGTGCGTGTGTGTGTGTGTTTGTGTATGTGTGTGTGTGTGTGTTTGTGTGTGCGTGTGTGGGGGGGGGGGGGGCGCGGTGTGTGTGTGTGTGTGCGTGTGGGTGTGTGTGTGTGTGTTGACTGCGTGATCCCGTTGTGTACTTACTGGCCGACCCTGTCCCGAGCCTGAACACGGGGATGCATCCTCACCACGTCGTCGGAGCAAACGATTCTATGTGTTATGTGTGTCTTCGCGCGTGTGAGCATCCGTCCGTGCACGAAGGTGCGTGACTATCCCCGCCAAAACATCAAAGAGGGGTCGCCACACAACAAGGATCCTACTGGCTCCAGTCACTTCGAAGCGCTGGCTTCATTCGGGCTGGAATCTCTCGCCCCCAAGTAGGGAGTACACAAACAAAAACACTTCATTCGCTTCCCGCATCTCCGCCTCAACCGCCTTCTCCTTCTCCTCCTCCTCCTCCTCCTCCTCCTCCTCCTTATCCTCCTCCTCGCCACCACTTGGACGCCCGAGTTATCCGGGGTAACTCGGGTCCGGGGTAACTCGGGTTTGGATTCCCGGAAAAGGAACCCGAATTAGCCCTGACCCGAATTATCCCTGATGATTCGGGGCTCTGGACGCCCGAGTTATCCGGGGTAACTCGGGTCCGGGGTAACTCGGGTTTGGATTCCCGAAAAACGAACCCGAGTTATCCCTGACCCGAGTTATCCCTGATGATTCGGGGCTCTGAACCACCACCATCATCATCATCAGCATCATCATCACCATCACCATCACCATCGCCATCGCCACCACCAATCATCATCATCATCATCATCATCATCATCATCATCATCATCATCATCATCATCATCATCATCATCATCATCAGCATCAGCATCAGCATCAGCATCAGCATCATCATCATCTTCATCATCATCATCATCATCATCATCATCATCATCATCGTCAGCCTCATCGTCACCATCACCATCACCATCACCATCACCATCGCCATCATCAGCATCCTCATCATCAGCATCCTCATCATCATCACCATCATCATCCTCATCATCAACTTCATCATCATCCTCATCATCCTCCTCAGCATCATCATCGTCACCGTCACCGTCACCGTCACCATCACCATCACCATCATCATCAACATCAACATCAACAACAGCATCACCCCTCCCCCACGTCGCCCTTCCCCTCCTCCGCCCGTGTCTCCCCCGGCCCAACCTCCACTAAGCAGAGCCCTTGTCACCGCCATGCTGCTCCTTCCTCCTTCTCTTCCCCACGTGTGCCCCTCGCCCGCCCACTCCTCCTCCCCATCCACTGCTCCCTTCTCCCGGTACTGTCGGGCGGTGGCGGGCCTTGGTTCAGCGGACCCGGTCTCCTGCTGTGTGCCGCGGGGCGACCCCCGCCCCATCACACACTAACCAGAACTGCCGTCACCCGAAGAGACAACCAGCCACGGCAGGGTTGGTTTCGTGATTCGGGCCAACCCTTTCGGCTGCGAGGCCCACTCGCTAAGCGGGCCCTGGCTGTATCCGATACTACTCCTGCTCCTCTTCCGCCGCTTTCCCCCCTCCTCCTCTCACGACTCCTTGTACTCCTCCTCGTACTCCTCCTCCTCCTTCTCCTCCTCCTCCTCCTCC